GGTGCTGTACCACAGGCGTCCGGAGCAAAGCCACGGAGCACGGGGGCAGCGGGACAGCCCAGACGCGCCATGGCTATCCTGCTGCCCTCGGGCTCCGTGGCTTTGCTCTGCTTTGCTCCCGTCCCCCTGGTCTGCAGACCAGGGGGTCGGGGGGCAAAGCAGAGCCAAGCCGCGGAGCACGTGGGCAGCGGACAGCCCTGTCCGCTGCCCTAGTGTTCCACCGCTCTGCTTCCTCTCCCTGGTCTGCTGGAGACCAGGGAGAGGAAGGGCCCCGTTCGTAACTGCGGATCCGACATAAGTCGGATCCGCATAACTCGGGGACTGCCTGTACACAATCATTTTCAATAATTTCAACATGAATTATATTTTACCCTTATAAATCAAAAAAATCCAAGTGATAAAAATCATCTAAGCAAGTTCTAGTAGGTGCTTTTACAGACTCACACAGAGACTTAATGCATGGCAAGCTAAGGAATGTAAAGAACATATGTGAAACAGCAGAGGACACATGCACCTTGGAACTCTGAGTGACCAGCAGAAAGGTCCATGTGGAAACTTAACATGGAGCAGATTTACATCCTGGTCTACACTACAGAGTTAGATTTAATGCAAGGCAGCTGTACATTTACCTAACTCTGTAACTCCATGTACACAAAAATGTTACTACTCTCAGTGTAACTCAGACACTATGATGACTTAACTATATCTCTGCAAGTGGTGTAGTGGGTCAATGCAGTGTCAGTTTAGGCACTGTATTGCTTACATTGACTGGTGCTGGAAGCTGTCCCACAATGCCCCACACTGACAGTTAAATTTGCAAGTATTCCTGGTAAGGATGTGCACCGCTGATACAAGGAGCATAGTGTAGACATGCAAAAGTGATTTAATTACTGTGTATGTCAACCCAGGGTTGCTATTAGGAAAAATACATTAGTTTTTTGTTGCATGGCACTTTGTGGGTAATTAATATCTCATTACTAGTTTCATCTTTATGAGACTTCTCCAAAATGCTTAATCTTAGATGCGTATAATGAAGCAGTTAAATCTCTATTTAAGTAACTAAATTCTTGACCATCTTTTCAGAGATAATTTTCAGTTCTCACCACTTCTATAAAAATAAGGCCTTCTTTATTTTAGGTGCCTAAATGTGGCTGGATGGCCACTATTATATGTGCAAGAAGTGTCACAATGACGAATACATTTCTGCAACTATTATCTTTTTGGATTCACACCCCAACAATCCTGAGCCTAATGTCTGAAAATTCAATACCAGATTTCCTTTTTTATAAAGTAGATGAGAGAAGCAAAACTTGTCACAAAAGGGACACACTCAAGAGAGACTGAAAGAGATCTAAAGAACAGCTCACCGTGTAACTGTGAGATAAGAGCTTGTACAATTTAATAATGAATTAGACTTTCACTTAATTTAGAATGATGCTTCACAAAAATGGAACATTTTGATATCCAGTTCTGAAAGTCTCAACCAAAAATGCTCATTTAAAGTTAAAGCCTTTGTGTCTAATTCTGCCCTTGGATATTGTGCCGGACTTCCAGTGACTTCAACCATAGTATAAGTAATTTTGCTCTAAAAATAATTTTGCAGAATTACCTTGAAAAGGACAATCAATACTGCAGTCTGTTCCTGCAAGTCCTAAAAACACTTAAATTGTAATATTCTAATTTTTAAAACAGATGAACAAAGTGGTATCAGAAATGAATGGCATTCCTTTTTACATAAACTGAAATCAATCTGAAAAGGGAATGTATGCAATTTAATCCTATATAGTTGTTTCAAATTGGCATATTTAAACCATTTTTAATTATGCCCTATGAATTGAGTTACAAAATAGTAATCCCCAAAAGCTTAATCTGATACTTTCATATTCAGCCTAGTCCCATGACATTCCTTACATTAAACTAGAGGTCAATATAATCCAAAATGATAATTTGTCTCATTCACTATGAAACATAACTAGTTTTAAATTTGTACTCATGATTTTATCTCCTCTTTGTTCTTTATGGTGGATTCCACTGGAGGTTTATCCTTACCTAGGCTGTCTTGCACATCTGCTGATACATTACTTGAACAGTTCTCACTGTCACATGATTCTCGCTCTATAATTGTTGGATTGCCACAATCTTGGCTCAGATTTTCACCATCTTTTCCCTTATCTTTTTTGAAATGAGAAATGTTCTCCTTTTTGTCTGATGAATCGAGAACTTCTTCTGAATTGAAATCACTGTGCTTTTCACTGTTGCTCTGCTTAGCAGCTTCACAGTTGGTTTCTGTTCCACGCTGGTCATTTTCTTCTCCATTTCTTGAAAGTTCTACCTTTTTTTCTTCAGCTGTTTTGCTACTTGAACTACCAGTTATAGATGTATTCTTGGAATCTCTCCATTTCTTGTGTTTAGAAATGTAACTGTTGTGAGAAGAAACTGGAGAAGTTTGCTTTTTACCTGCTTTGTTTGCCTCCTTCTGTTTTCTCGGTGGTCCCCAGATGAAATGTTCTGAAGGTGTATAATGTTGTTGGGCAAATCGCAGGAGTTTTCTCCTTTCTCTTCGGTCTCTTATGGTATATACAAAATATTCCAAAGCACTTTGCTTAATGTTGGGAATTGTGTCTTCCACAAGAGCTTCATGGAGAATAAATTTTACAAGAGGAGATTTGAAACTTTCATATCCAAGCTCACCAAGACTTTTCAGAATTCGAGTGATTCTTAAGTAGTTGTGTTGGGACCTGCACGAAAAGAATCACTCAACTTACATAAAATAATAGAGACAAGTAATGCTTAAAAATAAATTCTGCTGAAGTGAGAGATGGAGTATAGTCTGGTGGTTAAAGGACGAGAGCCAGAAGTCTTGGCTTCTGTTGTCTTGTTTGCCATTGTGTCACCCAGCACATGTAATTTAATCTTTCTATGCTTTATTTTCTCCACCTAGTCCAGATACTACTGTATACAGGCAGTCCCTGACTTACGCAGATCCGACTTATGTCGGATCCGCACTTACGATTGGGGCTTTTCTCACCCCAGAGCTCACGGGCGGCAGGTTGCCGCCCGGGTCCTCTTGGGCGAGAAAAGCTTCTCCCGGTCTCCCTGGTCTGCTGGGGGGGTCCAGCGGCTTTGCTGGACCCCCCCAGCAGACCAGGGGGACAGGAGCAAAGCCGCCCAGGCAGTGGGGGTCCCGCCGCCTGGGCGGCTTTGCTCCCGGGCAAACGAGCAAAGCTGCCCAGGTGGCGGCTTTGCTCGGGTGTCCCTGGTCTGCTGGGGGGGGTCCAGCGGCTTTGTAGCTAGTGCGCCCCAGCAGACCAGGCTTTTGTTGCGGGACACCTCGGGTAGAGCAGCTGGGGTGCTGCCGGGTTGGTCCTGTGGGAACCTACCGGAAACTGATCAGGCTGATTCCAGGAAGCTGGGGGCAGAGCAACTCTGCCTCCGGCTTCCTGTAGTCAGCCCCTGGTCAGTTTCAGTGGCAGCAGCTGAATCTGGAGCCAGTTCTGACTTACATACAAATACAACTTAAGAACAAACCTATAGTCCCTATCTTGTACGTAACCCGGGGACTGCCTGTAGTAATTCCCATTAGGGCTATTTGTAAAATGCTTGGAGATTCATGGCTGAAGAGCTGTAAATATGGACTTTGATTAGCGTAAAATCTCAAGTATAATACACACTTTTTTCCGATTTTTTGGAGGTCAAAGTCGGGGTGCGCATTATACATAGCAGTTATTTTTTAAAGTTTTATTTTGGCAGTTTATTCAGAAGCCGACGAATCTGTAAGTAGCCCCAGGCCAGGTAACTCCCCCTCTCCCCTGCAAAGAAACTTTCCCGCTGCAGCGCAGCGCAGGGGCTGCCGCCCCGCCAGACTCCCGGACAAGGCGAGGAGCTGGTGGTGCTGCCAGGCTGCAGCGCCCTGGCTTCCTACTTGCCCGATGCTCCTTTAGGCTGCGCCCAGGGGCCCCTGCGGCAGGTGCAAGCTTGGCTCGGCGCGCGGGCAGGTGTCCGGGGGGACGCGGCATGTCCCTCCTGTCATGATTATGAGGGTTAGCCAGCAGCCTGGGGATTAAGGGGTTAACTACACCCAGCCAGGTGGAGTGAGTGGCCAATAGGAATGTAGTTAGGACTTTCAAACTGGGACAAAGTAATTTGGGGGGGGAGGGTTCCTCCTTTGTCTCTCTGGGCGAGTCCTCTGCAGCTACAGGGAGGGACAAGCATGTCTCTTTCTCCAAGAAACAATTCTTCACTTTCTGTAAGTAGGGTAAAGTTTAGGTAGTTTTGTTAGGCTTTATTGTTTTAAGGGTTGGGAATGGGATCTGATGTCTGGCACTGCTTAAGAGATGTTTGGCTTTTCTTTTTAACTAAGTTCTAGCCCATGGTGTAATTCCTCCATGAGTATATTTTGTTACCTTTCCATCTGATCCTTATGCTTGCAACAGGAATATTGTTGTAATAATAAAAGTTTTCTCTTGTCTTTTTATTAACCTGGCATTGGTTACTTGTGTGTCCTGATTTTTATATTAGGAGTGAGATTTCCCAAATGATCTTTCCCCTCATCTCGTTATTAATATTGGGTGGTGGCAGTGGAAGTTTTATTCCCAAAATCTAGGTTTTTAAGATTTTGGAGGAAGTTTTATACCAAAGCCTGGTAGATAAGGCTTTGGGGTACACCTGCTGTCCCCCACTTCTGCATTTATCATGCCAGAGTGGGGAAGGAGCCATGACACCTCCCTGCCGCTATCCTGCAGCACCAGACTCCCGGACAAGGCAAGGAGCTGGTGGTGGCGCCAGCACCAAGCCCAGCCTCGCCCGCTTTCTGGAGCCAGCACCAGGCTGCAGGAGAGCGGGAGGGAGGGATGCGCCGCTCCCACCTGCAGGCTCGCCCGGGAAACGTGCATGCAGCCTGGGGAGCCGGCGGCAGAGTTTAAAACCTGCCCCCCACTCCTCCAGACAGCTGCCCCCACGCCACGCCGAGCTCGCACCTGCCGCGGGGGCTCCTGGGCACAGCCTAAGGAGCACCAGGAAGCCAGGGTGCTGCAGCCTGGCGGGACCCCTGGCTCCTTGCCTTGTCCAGGAGTCTGGCGGAGTGGCGGCCCCCGCACCGCACTGCAGCAGGAAAGTTTCTGTGCGGAGGAGAGGGGGAGTTCCCCGGCCTGGGGGCTACTGACAGGTTCATTTCATAGGTGCGCATTATATATAGGAGTCTAGATTTTTCCATTGTGATAAGATTTCAAAGTCAGGGTGCGCATGATACCTCGGTGCGCATTATACTCGAGATTTTACGGTGTTTGTTTATCGTAGCAATACACTGACTTAAAACGATTTGGCTGGCTAGCACTGGAACACCTGAGTTGATATTATAAAATATGCAATGACTGAGAGCTTGGCTCCTGCACAGCCCTGACTTACTGAAGGCCTGATTCAAAGTCTAATAAGGTCAATGAGATGACTCGGATAAATTAATAGATAAATAAAGTACTTGATTTTTTTAAAGTATTATTTGACCAGATTTACTCATAAGCAACCCTAACCTAAGAAAGCAGTATGCACCCATAATATCAGGAGAAAGCATTGTTTTGGGAATAGTTGAGAAATATGTACAGTAGTGTGTTAGACAAACTATTAAGGAATTGTGCTCTCATTCAATAATACTCGGAAGTACTCGTGTCAGCGAATTCATGATTGTTGATTAGATTGACATTAGGTTAGGAGCATAGTCATAAGGCATTTGTGGAAGAGATACATACATACTCAAGCGACTCCTTGCTGCATATACATACTCAAAACAATCACTGAGCCACGGTTTACACTAGGGAGTTACAGGCAGTCCTCGGGTTACGTACAAGATAGGGACTGTAGTTTTGTTCTTAAGTTGAATTTGTATGTAAGTCGGAACTGGTACATATTGTAGGGGAAACTCTAGCCAAACATTTCTCCAGAGCTCAGTTTTATTCTCCCACACCTCACTTCCCTCAGTCCTTTATTCTCAAGCTGAGGTGTCTGCTGAGAAAAGCCGCTCCACGTCTCCCTGGTCTGCTGGGGGGAAGCAGCTAGTGCGGGGTTGCCTCACCCCATTTGTAAGTAGGGATCCGATGTAAGTCGGATCCATGTAACCCGGGGACTGCCTGTATTTCAAAATAACTCTCCTTATTTGGAAATAACAAATGGAACGTCCATACTACCAAGCCCATTATTTTGAAATAACAGGCTGGTTATTTTGAAATAATAACTCCTGCTTTCCACAAGGAATAATGCTAATTTCAAAATAGTTATTTCAAAAATGTGGTAGTATAGATCAGTAGTGCTCAACTGGAAAAATTTTTGTTCAGGGAAAAAAAAAAAAAAAACCACCAGGACCATTTTGTTGCAGCCCCTTTAATTTAAAGCACCAGTCCGCTCCCTGGCCACTCCCCCACCCCCATTGCGTATACATCGGGCACCGAGCTGGGAAAAGAAAATACTGGCCGGCACGGATCAAAGCGCTATGAATCCCACTGATTGTGCACTGCTGGTGTAGATGCTCTGGTGCCACTATTTCGAAATAACTACTCCCCGGAGTAATTCAAACTAATTACTCCCCAGTGCTTCCTGGGGCTCTAAGTTGAGGTAGTGCATCCACATTGACTAAGTCTGCTTTAGACTAATTTCGAGGCTTCCCTGGAGTGAGGACACACTATTCTGAAATTATTATTTCAGGTGTTACATAAGTACATAAGAACATAAGAATGGCCATACTGGGTCAGACCAAAGGTCCATCCAGCTCAGTAGCCTGTCTACCAACAGTGGCCAGCACCAAATGCCCCGGAGGGGGTAGACCGAAGACAATGATCAAGCAATTTGTCTCGTGCCATCCCTCTCCAGCCTCTGACAAACAGAGCCAGGGACACCATTTCTATCCTGGGGCTAATAGCCTTTTATGGACCTAACCTCCATGAATTTATCCAGCTTCTCTTTAAACTCTGTTATAGTTCTAGCCTTCACAGCCTCCTCTGGCAAGGAGTCCCACAGGTTGACTATGCGCAGTGTGAAGAAGAACTTTTGCTTATTAGTTTTAAACCTGCTACCCATTAATTTCATTTGGTGTCAAAATAAGTTATTTTGAAATAATTTCCTAGTGTAGACATGCCCTGAGTCTTGCTTTTTGTCCTCCCACTTTCCTGGCACTTTTCTGAAAATATGTCCTGCTTTTCTTTAGAAAACAAAAGATAAAAATTCTAAGGCAATTACATAGCATCTAATACATGACATTACTTACTCATTCAAATGTTGAAATCTTTCTTGCCAATTAGCAGCTCTTGCTACATTTCCTGTTTTGTCAATTAGTTTTATTCCAAAAAACTCCAACATCATTTTATAAGCCAACAGGAATCTTCTAATTGCTTCTTTTGTTTTCTTGAATTCCTAATAAAACAAGAAGTTCATCTAAAATCCTAAATGGCTCTAAAACAAATACTTTGGCATTGTACACAACAACCTCATATAACAAACAATAACAAAACAGTCATACTTCAATATTAATCTGACAACTGACAGTAAACTCAATTTACATTACCTCTATTTCATATGTAGTTAATTCTTTAGCATAGAAATTCAAACCTTGTTCTCTAAGTGGAAAAAGCCTGTTTTAAAAAAAAGTTGTTTCAGTTTATGGTTGACAACATAACACTTTTAATCAAATCAATTCTTTAAAATAAAAATAGCAAATAAGTAACCAACCACTGAATATAAGTGTGATTATGTTCCAGTTTTTCATAATCTCCCTTCCATTTATTTAGTACTTCTTCAATGTAAACTCCTGTATAAACAAATTCAGGAAATTATTAAAGTATCTTCCAAGTATAGGACAGATGTTTTACTTTTATATTGTACTTTGTTATAAAAACATGCCATTAACTTAAAGAGAAGGATAATTAGCACTGTCCCTACACAGATGCTAATTAATGCAGACCAGATCTTCAGCTGGTATAGCTCCATTGATTTCAACAGATAATGATTTACACCATCTGAAGATATGGCACTATAATCTGTGTAAAGCATATTGATCGTTATTTATTCAATGGAGTAGATTTCTTATCACCTCTAAAACAGATGCGATAAAATAAGTAAAAGTCTATTTACGCTGATGATATTCAGAGTGAAATCTCTGTAGTTGCTACATCAACACAATTCTTCATATATGAGATCCTAGACTAGTAGCATATATCCTGAATACTGTAAGGAAGTCATTCATTCAAGAATCTCTCTTGTTGCCAGGTGCATTAGGATCTGGAAATTTGTTTCAATTAATTGTGCCTGAAACTCTTGATGCCACTAGTGCTGCCAAGAATGCAAATGGACTTTCTCACGTCACACTAGAAAAATCCACAACACTCCAGGAGAATTTATACTTGTATTAGTCTCAAAACATTAATGAAATTGAGTCTTACTGGCAAACAAGCAGAAATCAACAGTAGGAGACCAAACAAAAATGGAATATATGAATTACTATTAATCATTGATATTGTGCAGAACCTCAGAGCACCAGTCATGCATTAGAACCCATTTGTGCTAGGTGCTGAACAAAACATAGGACAAACTGATGTCCCCTAACCCAAAACCTTACATTCAAATTACACGGTGGAGATTTTTCAAAAGTATGCTGTATTGACCTAACTCTTCTCTGGTTGAAATTAATAGCAGTTTTATTACTGAAATATCGCTAACCCCCACATTAAAAAAACAACATGAGATTTAAAGAAAAAAGATACTCTCATGTCTTTGGTCTGACTTTTGATTTTTGAACTCTCCCATTTATCCCAAATTGATAGGCTTCAGTGATCTTGGTCCCCACTGCAGGGTCTTCAGATGGCAGCTAGATGGTACAGCGCTTCCAGCTTCTCCCCAAATCAAAGTTCTAATGCATTGTTTCTGTGCCTGCTGTTCTCCCAGCCCAGCTACAAATTAAATACCAGCATTGCCAACATCAACATCACCCCCTCGCCCTACTGTATCAGCTCCTCCAGTCCCTTTCTCCACCCTTCCAGGACTGGGGAAAGGAGAGAGCTCTAGGACTTTTCACCCCCACTGTTCCTTCCCAGGTTTGGCATGGAGGGGATGCAGAGAAACAGACTGACCTATTTTTCACAAAAGGGCAGCTGGAAGGAGGGAGCAGAGTCTCCCTTAAGGGCTAGAATCTTTCTGCTCACTGCCTCCTCCCTGCGATGGAAAGCACTCGCATAGTCTCACAGTATTGTAATAAACTGTCTACAAAGTATGACTTCTGAGATATCTGAACACGCAACTTGCTGATCAGCAGCATAATGTGTATAGTAGCATTATGTGTGAAACTGTAAACTTCTTTCTATATGACACGTGGCTCCACGCTCCCTGCCACTCCCTGCCACTGCCCCCTGCTGCTACGGCAGTGGCGGGGAAAAGCCTCAGGAGAAGCGCATCACTGTGCTGCCGTTCCTTCAACTAGGAGGGAGAGCGGGCTGCAGCGTGAAAAGCTGATTTCTCATCCACCTGCCAGGGTCCATACCGCAAGTGCTCCCAAATTAGGGACATCTGGAGTAATGAGGTTCGTGTGGATTAGGACTGTCCAGAAGAGGGCAGAGCAACACAAAACATACATTTCTAGAGAGCAATTTAGAACAGAAAATGTGGTGGGGTCACCCTGCAATATAAGCAAGGCTGCTGTGAGCCAGGTGTTTCACACAGTGGCTATGTCTAGACTACATGGTTCCGTCGACAGAGCCACGTAAAATAGTTTATTCGGCATAGTCAAAGAAGCGGGAATTTAAATAATCCCCACTTCATTAAAATAAAAATGGCCACTGCACTGTGAGAATGATCAGCTGATCCGGCACAGCGTGGCAGTCTAGATGTGGCGCGGTCAACAAAGGAAGCCTTTGTCGACTGCTCTGGTATGCCTTGTGAAACACTTCTTTGACTATGCTGAATAAACTATTTTACATGGCTCCATCGACGGAGCCATGTAGTCTAGACGTAGCCATAATGGCCCCATAGAGTAGCTGCTTGCACTTCCTGTGGATACCACACACAATTATATCGAGGCATGCTTGGGTGCAAAATCCTTCCTATTCTCCCTTTGAGTCTCTTCCTTGACAAAGTTCAGAACCAGTACTTTGTCCTCATTCTCCTTGATCTGTCAGCCAACTCTGACACAATCCTCCATGTTTTTGTATTGAAATCTTGTCTTCCATTATCTTTCGTGACTCAGTCCTCTCCTGGTTTTCTTCCCACCTCTCTAGTCACTCTTTCAGGATGTCTCGCAGAGACTCGGCCTCCAACTCCCTCTGGAGGAGCCACAGAGTTCTGTTTGTGGTACTTCCATCTCTTCTTACTATACACTATCTCTAGGTAATTTTATCCATGACCTCAAATCAAATCAACATTTCTATAATTAAAACTCACAAATCTATCTCTCTTCTTTGGTCCAAGGAGGACCAACCTCTATCCGTGGTGGGTCCAGGGAGGCGAAGCAGCCTCCATCCATGGGAAACTGTGCAGCAGCCTTCCCCACCCCGCGCTACTGCTTTTGATAGAGACAGCATCGCAGGGAGGGGGGACTGGTGGCATCGTGGAGCTAGTACTGGGGGGAATTGGCTCCTGCCTGCCCTGCCACTGCCCTGTTGGAGGCAGCAAGGGAAAGCAGGAGGGTGTGCAGAGCCAGCACATGCAGAGAGCCAAAATCTGACTCCCTCATGTGTATCGGCTCCAGCATGCCCCCCTCACCTTCTGCACTGCTGCCTCTGATAAAGAGACAGCAGTGCGGGGGGCAGGGTGGTGGATCCAGTGTGCATGGGGAGCCTGCTTAAAGCCAGTTCCTCATGGGCACCAGCTCCCGCTCCCCCTCTTATTGTCTTAAAGGCAGCAAGGGTGTGTGATCTATAAGATTAACTGATAAAGCCCGGCTTATCAGTTAATCATGTAGTTGTAGTGGACTACACATTGACATCCCTATGTCAAATCCCTCCTTAAAACTCCTTTTCTGTGACGCCTAAAAAATCTTTGTTAATGGTTAAGCTGTTGGTATACTGGGACCAATGCCTATCATGCTGGTCAGTGCTGTCTCCTTGTATCCTTTTACTCTCCCATATGTATCCATCTGTTGTCTCTTGTTTTATATTTCATCACCAGCTCTCTAGGGTAGGAACTATAGGAACATAAGTACATGAGAACGGCCATACTGGGTCAGACCAAAGGTCCATCTAGCCCAGTATCCTGTCTGCCGACAGTGGCCAATACCAGATGCCCTAAAGGGAGTGATCACTACAGGTAATTCTCATGTGATCCCTCTCCTGACATCCATTTCCAGACAAACAGAGGCCGGGGATACCATTCCTACCCATCCTGGCTAATAGCCATTGAAGGACCTAACCTCCATGAATCTATCTAGCTCTTTTTTAAAGACTGTTAAAGTCCCAGTTTTCACAACATCTATGTTTGTGTTCTATGTACAGAACTTAGCACAACAGGATAATTGTCCATGACTTGTACTCCTAGGTGCTACAGCAATATAAATATTAATATTTCCAAAGAATAAGCAATGGCCAGAGGGCTGTGCTGGAAAAGCACCTTATTAATCATTTCTACAGGTGTAAAAAGCGCTCTTTTGCCCTACGGCCACTGGAGGCTTTGCGCTCCTTCTCCTGGCCTTCTCTTCTATTTGCAAAATGCACTTCCTCCAGCCCTAGTGTATCATCACTCTATCTGTAACAGTCATAGTGCAGCCCTTAATCTATTCTTTGTGGAATATCTTATTTCTTTCTTGCGGCTATCACTTCAGTTTGATGTGAAGTTCTTAACATAAGCAGCTGCCATTGGAGTTCATGAGATGTATGGTTAGAATCCCATGACTGCACTGCGTTGGAAATGCACTGCTTAGAACTTCCAGTCATGACTGACATTTTCCCCTGTAGAATAAGGACTAATTTAATAAATAATTTCTGAGTTATACAGCCATTTTTAAGGACTTGCTTTACACTAAAGCGTTCTCACTATGTTAACATTACACTACAGTTAAAATAAATTTTAAAAGGCCCCATTAGATATTTTTATGACATAAGAATTCCACAAGCCTAATCTTTAGTACTGTAATTATCAGTTCAGTTTTATGTTATTATTTTACATTTTTCTGTTAGTACTAATGTCACCGATTACTCACCATCAGGTTTAAAGGGAATTTTATTTTTATAAAATCGGAGATTAGACAAGTCATTTTGATACCGGAGATCTTTAAAGTTCTGCTGAAAAGAAAGAAACAAAGCATCATCATCCTGTCGTAATATGGTGGCATTCAGCTTTTAAAAAAGATTTTATAAACAAAACGGTAGGCCATTCAAATTATTAAATTACTGAGTGGCATAATATAACCTTTATGTGTATACATATGCATTGCTCTTCATGCAATCCCTTTTTTCACTCCACCTCAGCAAGAAGTAGCTAGTTATCTCTCCCACTGACCTGTGTCTATCAGCAGGATACTCTGCACAGGCAGCTGTAAAAAACTACTCTGCAATGAAATGCTGAAAGGAACTGCATGACACAATCACATGAAATACAAGAATAGACACAGCAGTTTCTATGGTGCTGAGAGGAACTTCTGCTTTTCCGTTACTATTAGTGCCCAGCTAGTGAAACCAAACAGCATAAACATTGTGCCAGCTCACCTACAAGACACTGACCAGAGGCATGTCACCATTTTATGTAACCCATCTCCCAGGTGCAGTCAGCAGCAACAAGGTCCAGGTTTATCTAGAGGTTCCTCTTAACAACACAAAAAACTGGCTTGAGCCCCAACCCAGTAATCTGGCAAAATTAAACATCACCCTGAGTGCCTCACCACAAGTACTGAGTGTATGTACAATAAAATTTTATTTTGTTAAAAGGGAAAGGGAACCTAACATTCACTTGGAAAATAAATCGCAATGAACCACAACCGCAATCCAAAAGCAGGTAACCAGGAGTAAACACCCACCCCCATGGCGCATTGGGGCAACACCCACCCCCATGGCTCCGGGGCAAACGAGCAAAGCCGCCCAGGCAGCGGGACTCCCGCCACCTGGGCGGCTTTGCTCGGGTGTCCCTGGTCTGCTGGGGGGGTCCAGCGGCTTTGCTGGATCCCCCCCCCAGCAGACCAGGGAGACCGGGAGAAGCTTTTCTCGCCCCGGAGGACACGGATGGCGATCCGCCGCCCGTGAGCTCCGGGGCGAGAAAATCCCCGTTCGTAAGTGCGGATCCGACATAAGTCGGATCCGCATAAGTCGGGGACTGCCTGTATTCAAATGCTTAAAATTAAGCATATACATATTAGTTTGCATGATCTGGACCTTAGCCTGTAAGCTCTTCAAGCATGAAGGAGTTTTATAAATTTGAGAGGGAAGAATGGCACATCATGTCCAGGAGCCTCCCTCTGGCATTTCCTTTTGGTCATTCCATCAGAAGTGCTACTTCTTTTATTCTCTCATACTTAATAGGGAAAAATATGGTCTCCCTTAACAAGTTGTGTTTGTTTGCTATAGTTCTTAATTTAAAGAGTGGTTTTAAGCATCAAAATGCCCTTACTGGATATTGGTGTCGATACTTGTACAAATCTCTTGCTGCATAAAAGCTTCTCTTTGGTTTTGATGTCAGTTCAGTTGTATCATCATTCTGAAACATTTAAAGAGTTGTTAACACCCACCTACAGCCACAGTGAACACTGATTTGTATTATTATGGCATTAGACATTTTAAAATAATTATTTTGCAAAATGGGCTTCAACAATTCTAAATTCATACATGTTCAGTTGCATAAATTTACTTAAACTTTCATCAAACAATGTACATATGTAACAGGAAGGATATTTTTAACACAATAACTTTAACATATAAACAAAAGCAGGGCTTGCACTCATGGTACAGCCTTTTATAAAATCTATTAATTTCTTCAATTTGGAGCAATAAGTCATCCAATGATTTATTTACTGAATCTAAAACTTATCTAGAAATTATTTTTAAAGTGCAGACGCTTATCAAAACAAAGTACTGTAAATGGCTGAGCATGTAAGTGAAGCATAACTATACTGTTCTGTTAGTGAAATCAGACTATTTATAAACCTGTGTCATGTCTTACTATGAAAGCAACCACTGTATCCTGTGGAAGAAAATTACTGAATGGCAAACAAGAATATTTGTTGCACTGCCAAACTATTTCATATAATTCAGGAAACTAGTATTCAAAATATAAGTTTATGTTCCAGTGAAAAGTATCATTAAGCCCTAAAGCAAAACTCTCTCCACTCATCTGAGGAAGTGGGTTTTGCCCATGAAAGTTCATGATACCATATATATATATATATATATATATATATATTTGTTAGTCTCTAAGGATATGTCTACACAGCAACATTATTTCAAAATAACTAGCGTTATTTCGAAATAACTTACTTCGTGTCTACACAGTAGGCAGTTATTTCGAAATAATGTTGAAATACTATCAAGCTGGAGGACTTCTTACTCCAACTCCTGTAACCCTCATTGTACAATGAGCAAGGGAAGTCGGAGGGAGTGCTATTTCAAAATAAGTGCTGTGTAGACACTCCCAATTTTGAAATAAGCTATTTTGAAATAAGCTATGCAATTGACGTAGTTCAATTTGCATAGCTTATTTCGAGTTAAGCCCTGCTGTGTAGATACACCCTAAGGTGCTACAGGACTACTCATTTTTTTAAAGTTACAGACTAACATGACTACCCTTCTGCTTTTGGTAGACCATAAGTGTTTTAGAACCTAGGGGCCTGGGCCTGATCCAGAGCTCATTGAAGTCAGTGGAAAGTCCCCCATTGGCTTTGGCAGGTGCTAGATCAAGCTATATATATTTAGCAAAAATCCAATCAAAAGCACCCATATACTGAGACTTGCTAATTCTATTATGAACTTTATTTTTCATATAATATTGTCTTTTACAATATTATAATAAATACTGCTGTTTTTAAGATGCAGAAATAAAATTCTTCTACTGAAATCAATACACAAACTTGGAGGCAGAGGCGACCTCACACTCCTTTACAACTTGCTATACCCATCTGAAGAAGTGGGTTGTGCCCACAAAAGCTCATGATAAGATGGATATATATATATATATATTTGTTAGTCTCTAAAGTTCCTTAACAACTTATCAGTGGTAGTATGAACAGTCAGGCTTACTCCTGGGCAATTAGGCTATGTCTACACTGTAGCCTTCTTCCAGAAAAGCTTATGCAAATGAAGCAAGGAGTGGAATATCTCCACACTTCATTTGCATAATTAATTAGCAGCCACTTTTGCGCAAGAGGCTTTTGCACAAAAAGGAGCTGTGTAGATGGCTCCTTTTTGCGCAAAAAACACCTCTTGCACAAGAGCCATTCTTCCTCATTTTTTCAGGAAGTGCTAACATGATGTTAGTTTTCCTAGTACCAGCTATAAAACAAAACATGGAATTCTGATTGTCCATCTCGGACACTCAAAAATGAGAAAAATGAGACAATTTTCAGTTAGACTCTTAGGCACTGGTTTTACCCCCAGTTATATGGAGAGCATGTACACCTCCCATTAATGTCAGTGGTAGCTGCCCTACAATTGGCATACATGTTATGGGAACAAAAATATTGGCAGCTGCTGATACACCGGCAACCAATCTACACAAAGCCTCCCACTGTTGCTACTCTTCATAGAACACTACAGATGCTAGCAAGGGTGACAATTTTAGGGCACATTTCCTACCATAAATAAAATCTGAATGTAGAAACAAACATGGAAGCCTCAGAGCTATCAAGGTCACACCAATATTCTAGTCTTATAACTCTTAATAAGCTGCTGCTGCTGAGCCTGAGAGCTGCTCAACTCTATCACCATTTCTCAACCTTCTCAACAACCATACTAGTTTAGCAGACACTGAGCCAATGTCTGGTAATGTGCTAGCTCTGTAATAGGGAAACTGAGCACTTTCAAATCCCGATGAAGTCCCGCAATCTCTTGCAGGTCCAGGAGCATAATGCCATCATTATATCAGAAGCTGCAGGGGGTAACCGAGTTAGTCTGTACAGGTTAAACTTAAAAAACAACAAATGGTCTGGTACCACTTTATAGACTAACAAAACATATAGATGAAATCATGAGCTATTGTGGGCATAGCCCACTTCTTCATCCGGTCATCTGAAAAAGTAGGTTGTGCCCACGAAAGCTCATGATTCCATCTATATGTTTTGTTAGTCTATAAAGTGCTACCAGATCATTTGTTGTTTTTTAAGTTTATCATTATATCAGTATCTGTGCTTATGTGGACCCGAGGCAGCTCTAAACTTCAGGTGCAATCATGAGAGAGCAGCAAAACAGCCACCGCAGGTCATGCATCTACACAGCACCTTGAAGTTGAAACAAGATACACAATTTGTTCTACACAAATTGCGTATCTTCTTTCAAATTCATTTTGAAATGGCTTATTTTGAAATTCGGTGTGTCTACACAGTGCCAAATTTCAAAATAACACACTATTTTGAGCCATCCCTTAACCTTCATGCAACAAGGTTTACCGGGATGGCAAAATAGCGTGGCTGTTATTTTGAAAAATATTTCAAAATAAAAGGTGCCTTGTGTAGAGGAGGGGTAGCTATTTCGGGATACCTCCAGTGTACCGAAATAGCAGTGCGGTGTAGACATACCCTTACAGATGACTGAGAAATAAGTAGTAAAGCAATGTGACCTTGTACTGAGGATCATCATTGAATGCATAAAATTCCAATCACGGGTGCCAGAAAGTACCAGAAGTAACACTGTACTTATTATAGTAGCATGTTTCATCTGGAAAGATTTTACCAATATTAACTAACTTTTCCCCTCAAAAGGGATTAAGTTTCCACAAAGAGATGAAATCAAATGACTTGCCCTAGGCCATAGCATGGTGTCAATATCCCAGCTAAGCTTAGCCCTCCTGAGTCCCTGGCTTCCAGTCCTTTGCTCTATATATCCACACATTCCCTACGGTTGCTAACCGCACCTTTAGCTTACTTAAGAGCAAACCAAAACCAAAACAATCTTGGTCGCAAACCGCCCTCAGGGCCAGCAGAAATGAGCTGTGAAGCAAACTGTGCAGTAGGGGAAATAACCCCCCCTCCCCACACACTTCCTCTGCTTTCAGCCCGAGACAGAGCGCTCTGCACGCCACCAGGAGGAAAACAGGCAGCAGCAGCAGCAGCGGCACACAGGGAAAGCAGCGAAGTCCCCCAGCGGGGTCTGCCTCCCCCAGCCCGGGCGTGTCACGCACCTAGGCCCGCTTGTGCGGCTTCAGTCCAGGGCACCCCAATTCGCTCCTACGTGCGGAAGGGAACCGGGGGAGCCCGGCCGGCACCACGAGCGCACCCCCAGCCTGCTGCATTCCTGGGACACCCGAGAGCGTAGCGCACAGGGAAAGCAGCGAAGTCCCCCAGCGGGGTCTGCCTCCCCCAGCCCGGGCGTGTCACGCACCTAGGCCCGCTTGTGCGGCTTCAGTCCAGGGCACCCCAATTCGCTCCTACGTGCGGAAGGGAACCGGGGGAGCCCGGCCGGCACCACGAGCGCACCCCCAGCCTGCTGCATTCCTGGGACACCCGAGAGCGTAGCGCCCCGGCCGGGCATGGGGGTGGGGCAGGGTCTCTCGCCACCCGGCACAGGTTGGCGGGGGGAGGTACCTGCTCAGGGCCGGGGGACGCTGCTGTTGCTTCTCCGCGGTC